GAGTCTGGAATGGCATATGACAGTCTGCAGCCAGTCCTGTCCTGCCTGGATCTGTAGCCAATCTCATCCTGCCTGGGTCTGCAGCCAGTCTTGCCCCACCTGGGTCTGCAGCCAGTCTCACCCCACCTGGGTTCACAGCCAGACTTGTCCTGCCTGGGTCCGCAGCCACTCTAATGCTGCCTGGGTCTGTAGCCAGTCTTGTGCTCCATGTGTCTGCAGCTGTTAAGAACCATGCTCAAGGGAGAGAGAGAGACTGACTCAGAGGGGCTTGGCCTCAGCTCATATGCTGTGCCCCTTACCTGAGTATGTGCCCTTCATTTCAGAGGAAGTCCAATGATGGTCCAACAAAGTCTGGAGGACTTCCGGAGGCTGGCCACTCTGGTGGAGAGTGCAGGAGGACTTCCGGAGAGCATGGAGAGTTCGGAGGAATGCAGGAAGTGCTCAGGAGAGTTCCCACTGCAAGGTAATACTTCTACAGGAAAACAGGATGGAAGGATAGGAGGTCCAGAGGACAGGAGGACAAGATGTCTGGAGGTCCAGAGTATGGAGGACAGGAGGTCCGGAGGTATGGAGGACGGAACATCCGAAGGTACGGAGGGCAGAACATCTGAAGGTATGGAGGGCAGAACATCAAAGGACAGGATGCCCAGAGGTATGAGGGACAGGACATCCGGAGGTACAGAAGACAGGAGGTCCGGAAGGAGTAGGGGCTACATCAGACAAAGTCCAATGTAGAAGCAAATGGAGGTAGACTACCCTAAGGTAGAGTCGGAGGGACAGGAAGTGGACCTAAGTCTGGAAAGAGGGTAAGTGCCAGAAAGGCAAGACTCTAGCCTAGGGAAGCAATCCCTAGACTTGGGACAGAGACATAGGGGACAAATAGGTCCAGAATTCCGGCCTAGGGAATCCTTCCCTAGGCCTTATGGAAAAGGACAAGACTCAGACGGACTGAAGTCCAGAAGATGATTGGCAAGTAGAACAGGATCTAAGATGAGAGGCAGGAACTAAGATGATATTCAGACTGAGGACTCTACTGTAGTTGTACAGGGGTTATATACTAGAGGCTATCTGAGAGGATCAGTAAGCAAAGGAGTAAGGCTATGTATGAGCATGCAGAAACACATTGGTAAGTAAGATGGAACATAAGTAAATGAACTTGGAGATGAAACTAGTACAAGGATCAATCAGCAAGATGGAAACAGAGATAACTGAGAACTGGAAAGGTGGAGATGCCTAAATGGGGATAGGTGCAGGATCTTGGATGGAGGATGGGAATGGTCTGGAGATAGTACAGTTAATATCCGGAGGTCTGGTGTCCTGCATGATTTGGGAATCATGCATGGACATGACTACTAGGTAGCCCCCTAAAAGACAAAGTCTGTTAGCTTAGGCATCAGGCTAGTCAACCCATACCTTGGTTTCAAACCTTGGTCATATAGTTCAGTTTCCCCTCTGTGATTCATGAATTTATTATATCTTGAAGAAAAGTCATTTGTGAGGTGGGAATCACATAAGACCTAGTGATATTGTGAAGCAAGAAGGTTAAGGTATTGCCTTGCCTTTGGCTTATTCACTTTGGCTAGAGAAAACCATAGAGAAAAGTTCAAAGCCTAACAAAAACCTATCTAAAAAGCCTGTGTTTTGTGTCTTGTTATTGTATTATTATTTCTGAGTTGTTTTCTCTAGTATTTCCTTGATTTATTTTTCTATTGGGATGCTCTGACTCATCAGATACTTCACAAAATTGTACCTACAGGGTATGATGTCATAATGATGTCATATGGCTCCACAGATACTCCTGCAAGTATTCTGTTGAAAGTTATGATGTCATGATGATGTCATTTGTTCTGGAATGTTCTGCTCCACTTGCTAGAATGTTCTGCTCCACAATGACTCACCTCTGATGTCATTACTCTACCTATGGAATATTCTGGAATGTTCTGCTCCACTTTCTGAATATTCTGCTCCACTTCTGATGTCATTGCTCCGCTTTTTTACTTACATAATATTCCCACACAAAATGTATATAAGGAGGGCCCATTCTCCCCCCCCAAAAAATAGGATCTCCCACTTGCAATCATTTGAATCTCAGTTTGAGCTACTCACTGTGAAGATTGTTGCTTACAAAGAAAAGCCCCTTTGAAGTACCAAGTGCAGGGAAAAGACATTCCCTTGAGATTACATAAGTTTCTTATGATAGAAACTTGGTTTATTTGAGACCAGCTTCTCACCTAGTTTCTGATATTGACCAACATGAGCTTTGGTCAATCTGTTCATTTGTGAGACCAGCTTCTCACCTAGTTATCTGATATTGACCAACACGAGCTTTGGTCAATCTGCTCATTTGTGAGACCAGTTTCTCACCACTTTGTGCCTATTTGACCAACCAGTCTTTGGTCAATGTATTCGTATTTGAGACTGTAGTCTCTACAGAGAATTATCTTAACAAGGAACCACGTTCCAGTGTCTAGACAGTTTATCCTAGACAAGTTTATAAGTTGGGATATAACACAAAAGCTCCAGCTAAGTTAATCACATTGATTGGTTTAGCAAGCCTCCCAAGAACTCACACATTATCTACCATGAAAGAAGAAAAGTCATAGACCATGTTAATTGAGGACTGGCAAGAAGTCTTATCCCAGTGTAATTGTGGTGTCATTACATTTTACATGCATTTATATAAGACCCTCAGTTATTAAGACACTGGAGATCTGGGGATCCGGAAGGCAGGGCAGAAACAGGACTGAGATATGTGAGGTGGTGGATGTAGTCCAGAATCCAAGAGGAGGTAAAGTCTGGATGTCTTGCTGGATGGAATGTGCATAGGGTGGACAGGATAGGGGATCCAGGAATGAATCAGATATGGGGTCCAGAAATAGGTCTGGAAAGCGTGGGAATATGATGGGATCTATATCTGGCATATGGGATATGACAGCAGCCAATCTTGTGCTCTGTGGGTCTGCAGCCAGTCTTGCCCTGCATGGGTCTGCAACCAGTCTTGTCCTGCCTGGGTCTGCAGCCAGTCTCTCCCATTCCTGGTCTGCAGCCAGGCACGCCCATCCATGGTCCCCAGCCAAGATTGTGAATCTGAAGTGCAATCTCCCTGAAGCCATAACATACAGATGAGAACTGACAGCAGCTCTGGTGGCAGAACAAGGAAGGCTAATGAATCTTTTAATCTATGGGGGTCCTGAGCTTTCATAGCTTGGCTCTGCTTCTTCAGTTCTGAGAGCACATCTAAGAGGGCTGTGCATTCTGGAATCTCATGGATCATCAAGTGGAGAGAGGAATCAGTGAGTAGGGAATGGGGTGAAGACATATCATGCACTTGAAGGAGGCTACAGTTTGAGGGGTTGGAAACATAATTGCAAATGGATGAGTGATGAATATTTATGGGAAGACCGGTGTTGGTAGGAATATCCATAACAGACCATAGCTGCATTAGTGATGTTTTGACATTCTTGCCCAGGCAAGGACCAAGAAGTTTTGAGACTTGTGATATCAGCAAAGGGTCTGCAAGGGCAGCAATGATGGACAAGTACATGTATGCCTGCTGAGGGTCTGCACATGTGCTCAGTATATAGTCATACAGCTTGTACACCTCTGTTCCTGGCAACAGCTCACTTGATAGCTTGAGTATGAGGTGAAGCTGATCACAGGGATCATGGTCTCCATCACCAATAAACTTCATCATCATAGATGCCACAATGAAATGTCTGCCTGCTCAGCTTGCCAGCTTCACAAGTTGATCCCTTGATGGCTGCAGGAAATCAGGGTGGTTATCTGCTAGCTCTTCAAAGGAATGCTGCAAAAATATATAGATATCATTGTCAACATTGGTGCTGTCTAGCAAGACAATGGTCCCAATGCCTTCCCCAGAAGTTTTCACAGGTATTTCACACAACAATGGCTGCACCTCCTTATTCTGAAAGGCTTTGCAGATATGCAATTCCGAGCAACTGGTGAGTAGAATGTGTGTCATGGGTAGATCAGGCTCATGAAGAGCCTGTGCAAGGAAAAGGATAAGATCAGTAAGCTCAGGTTCAGATGTGCATTCATCAAGGGCATCAATAACAAATGTCAAAGGGGGACACTTGTGCAATCTGGATCAAAGCCACCAGAGAGGTTGGAGAAAGAGAGCCTCCATCTGGTCACAGAGAGGTGCATCAGGGTCTAGTAGAGCGGGATTATCATGGATAGCTCTGTTTACATCCTTCCAAATGCTGGGGAAATTGTTGGCAAGCTGGTAGACAAGTGTTGCAAAGAAATATCCAGCCATGCAACATTTCGTGTGCTTGTGTGAGAAAAAGAATGTTCCTGCTAGCTGCTTTTCAACATTCATCTCTTCTGTCACTTTTAGACCTTTCATCCTCTCAGCTACAGTGAACATGATGGCAGACTTTCCAATGCCTGCCATGCCATGCAGCCATATAAGTTGATTCTTCTCTTGTTCATCCAGTAATCGGTAAATGTATTTGAGGAAATCCACCCAGGTCCCATCCAAACATTTTGGATGGGGCTGATGTTCATGGGAGTTATATTGAGCACCCTTGACAGCAACTTGGGACAGCCTCGCCCAAGTTCCTTCAAATGATGGAAGAACTGTCAAAGGTCAGAAACCAGGAGAGGAATGAGAGTGAGAAAAACCAACATTGTTCCTCACTCATTCACAGAGGTTGTGATCTGTGTGATGAAATGGACAAGTTGAGAGTACTAGCTGGGTGCAGTTAGAAATCATCTGGGCAATGATTATCTCCAGGGACAACATACAAAGTTTTGAAGAATCTGTTGGAGTCAAAGTTGCCAAGGTTCCCGAAGTGCGATGGTAGGATAAATGGATGTTTCAGTCTATGGAAAGACTGCTGGATGGTGGTGGGATACAGTTCAAGGAAGAGCAGGCGCTTGTCCAATTACAGGAGGCCATGAGGTTGCTGTGCATGCTGTAGTACTATGTCATCAGAGAGATCTGGGCTGTACAAGTGAAAACCTGTAAGTTTTGCAGTATCAGGCACAGCATCTGCATCCTAATTCCGCCTCGACTCTACATAGAGCAATATATGATAATCCAAAACACTGCATTTCAGCGCGTTAGTAGTACTTACGCCCTTCCATTCCTAACAAAGTCAAATATCGAGTCTCCCATAGATGTGCTCTACTAGATGGTCACGTGAGTTCGCGTTTTCACTCTAGCACACGCAATTCTACACAGAATCCTTATGTACATCACACATAGGTTCTCCCCAGCATAATACACATTGTCATATTTTTTTGGTGAAAAAAAACCAAGTGCTTCCCGTGCCAGGGCTCAGTTTATGGTGCTGGAGGCTAGTTTTACACATAGAATGCACACTCCAGCAGTCATATCATCACGGAAAATTCTGAAATGGTACATGGGGATTGTACATGGGCCATGTTAAAATAAATACTCCGGGGACCACTTTCTTGATAGAATGATGCATATGTGCAGCATGTATGAATTGAGATTTCGCTGTGCCGAAATGTGGCACTGAACACACGCGTTGATGCTGGTGTATACGCAGTTGTGTGGAGTGTGAAATGGTTCGACGGCAGGGTGATATAGTGTGACAAAAACGCGAACTCTTGAGACAATCCCACTCTGCTACACTGGCACGGTAACTCTCCGCTGGACTCAACTCTTCACATCTCAAGAAAAAAACTAGCAGGCATTGTATTTTCGACATCAGGCTAGTTGTACATTTTGGCCTAGACGTTGAGGAGTTATTGTTGTTGCAAAAAAAACGCGAACTCTGGTGACCATCTAGTAATAGACGCTGCGCCAAAAATGTGCGAACTCTAGTGCACATCTAGTACACAATGATCTACACAGTAGTAGTCTGTATCTTTATTACCGAATACTAAATCTCTTTCGTGCGATCGAGCTAGTATTAACTTCGTGGCTGATAGCTATTCCGAATCTTCTCCATGTCTTTCCCTCATCATCCGTTGCCAGTAAAAGCCAGAACCACCAATTGGGAACATCGTCAAACGACCAACTCTGTTCCCCAAAGGTTGCCAGTACAACTTCGCCCTTTTTCGCTTTCCGATTCAAGAACCTCTCTCTTTCCTCGCGCTCCTTGCTTGCGATTTGCTGTCGCAAGGTAGGCGGACCAAAGAAAGAAGGTTCGCGCCCGCTATTGGAGGGTTCCAATATCCCCCCAACAATATATATTCCGGTTTGAGGCGGCCTTTTACGGAAGAGCTCGGCATAGCGTGGCATGAGATGGATCTCAATATTGAGATCATCATGCTCTACCGCAATCGACGCGAAACTCAAGCTTGTGGCAACTTTCTCCACTTCGAGATGGTACATAGACATGTGCAGTATGCCCTCAGGGTCAACATGAGACAAGAGTTCGGCATGCGGCGTAACGCCAAATATATCTTTTGGTTGCCAGCCAAAGCCCGCAGGAAACCACGAGACGCCGAGACCGGGTTCGTCCCTTTCGTAGAATTCGTGCTGGAGCGTAAGTAAAGCAGATAAATCCCCATCTCGAACTCTCAAGTAGGAAAATATGGCGAGAATGATCCCTGGTGAAAGTTGATAATCCACCGGGAGTGAATTGCGAATTTTGAAGGGAAATAGGCCAAGAATGCCGTAGACGTTATCATGAAGGAACGAGCAGTCTCGCTTGCGACAGTACTGCAAGCAGAGTTCAGGTGACATTGGGCGATCCCAATTTGATATTGGGAGAGAAATGGGAAATTCGTCGCTCGTTATGCTGAGAAGGATACGAGAGCGGGGCGAAACCGAGTCGCTAGTCCTGACCAATTCATTGGCGTCGATTCGGATGTTTCTAGCGCGGACTACAACTTTTCTGGCCAAGTACGTCTCTTGGAAGACCCAGACCCGTTTGGCATGATACCCCTTCATCCAAGTTATAATCCTGCGCCAAGCTTGGTCGCTTCTGGATTCTGGCCCTGCGTCATCTTGGGAAGGGCCTTCGGCGGTAGCATAGCGCCGGCGTAGCGCTTCGGATACAGCAACGCAGCAAGCTGCATTACTGTAATAGTCACTCATCCTTGGTATCTCACGTGCGACATCTTCTGGATCCGCTTGGTTGACGCAAATGCTGTCCATCCAGACATACTCAAGACCCATCAACAAGGCTTCCCTGGCGACAAGGAAAAATATCTCTCGTAAATATTCCCGCGATAGCCCTGCTGGCACTTCCGATGGGCAGTGCAAACGATCCAACTCCCTTTCCTCTGCATCAACTGCCTGAACGATGTTTGGATGCATGAGGCAAGTCAGACGGAACCAATCGTCGAATGTGGGTGCCTGGGGTATGTCGTCCCACAAGCCAGAATAGTGTTCTGAAGTGCCCGTAAATCTGTCTGGATTCCAGAGGTAGGATGCAATGACGTAGCGCTTCGTGGTATCATTCTGGATGGCTTCGACTTGTCCCGTGAAGATGTTAATCAGCCTTGTGGGGACATGTCTGGGGGCCGATAATGCATCTGTGTTCTGATCTAGTGCATCGAACTTTTGCATTGCGTTGATCCAGGCTACCCGAGCCCGGTCGGGTTTAGCAATGGATGATTGGCCATCCAAGTTCCTTGACGACCCGAGTCTAACTTGAAGGAAGG